TGGCCAGTGTTGGTGCCTGTGGGTGCAAGGATTGTTAATACTGACTCACAGGCCGAAGGCAAGCTCCTTGTCCCAGACTATGGGCATCATCTCATTATCCACGTTCCATCAGGTTACCATTAGTCAGAGTTCAACTGTCAAAACAGTATCATCCTCCAGCAGAGCTATGAGCCTGATAATTTATTCTGATATACTTTTGGCTGCTACCAATTTTTTGTAACTTAAAAAATACTGGGATACTATATTTGAAAGTAAAGCACATTATTTCAACACCTGATTTACTCAATTTAACATATGGCTTATATCTTAAGTATGTTTTTAAAAGATTATATATTCTCAAATTGATAGAATTATAATTTCTCCTATTTAAGGGCTACATAATTAAATATAGGCATGTAATTTTTGTGGAAACAGATAAAATATGATATATAGAACATCGTAAAATATTCCTGCTGCATCTCCTCCTCATAGTCCCCTCAGAAAAAAATGGGAAAAATTCAAAAAAGGACTTCCACATCTAACACTTCAAATTTTTCAGTAACAAATTTGAGAATTCCTTTCTAATATCAATAATTTTTAAGAACTCTCCATTTATAGTAATTAAACTTTTAGTATTCAGTTAAAATAGAAAACACATAATGATAAAAACTTTTATAAACCCAGTAATTTTCTGAAATTTATAGTCATTAATCAGTACAGTACTTACATATTCTTAAAAATAAGAGTACAAATATATTTGCAATATAAACATGTTTGTAGTGGAAACACACATTTGCTCCACCTTGCTCTCCACTTCGTTTCTGTTATATATTTGGTGGTTTGGTATTTCAGAAACTGACCCAATATTTAGAGTAGAAAATGGACTTACTGAGGGGGGACAGTCTTAGGCAAAATGCAAACATATATGTGTGTGTGTGTGTGTGTGTGTGTGTGTGTGTGTGTGTATGTGTGTGTGTGTGTGCTTATTATATATATGTTGCATATTATATGTATTCTTGACAAGGGAATCATAGAACTTGGAGATATTCCAAAGTTTATCTGGGCTATTTCCTATAATGCAATGGAATAGTATCTAGATCATTCATAACATAAATAGCTGAATGATTTAGGTGCCTGCAGCAATGAAACAGTGTTATTATTTTATAGTGGCTTTAACATAGGGGGAAAAGTGTTTTTTCTATAATTATGATTAGCGCCATTAAAACCTCCAAAGTTTTTGGTTTTCACTTTACTACCAATAGGTGTGTGGGGGAGTACAAAAATCTAGTACATGTCTATTCTGCAACAGAACAGCCTATCAGATCATTTCCCAGCTAGAAGCACCTGTCTTTCACAGATTCAAATCATACTTTAGCCCTGGGGCATTCACTTAGGGCATGTTTCTTTTATGATGATGGTTTGTACCAGTTTGGTTTTTGCATGTAAATGCCACCATTCTTAGAACTCCCTCCCCCACCTTACTTAGTTATGATAAGCACAACATCAGTGATTCATGAGAACATAATCCTGAAAATCTCCCCATTTTAGGAACTGCCTTCATTTTGCAAAGCATTTTGTAGAAATGCTACATTCATATTTTAATAGAAACATAATCTAGACAAAACTAAATCACAAACTTCTTTCTGGTTTCTTTACAGTTTCTTCCTCTGTAGTTAAGTTTCCTATATCCTTGAGCTTTAGTTCTAGAGCTTCGGAGTTTGCAAGGCATTTTTAAACGATCATAGAATAATAGCTGCTGCTCTAAGACCAGGTTTACTTAGATTGTCCTGACTCTGAACTTCTGAGTCCTATGTTCACCTCTTTCTTAATCATGTAAACCCATGACCCTCTGCTCTCTACCTCAAGTTCCTTCCTGCTCCTAGCCCTCTACAAACAAGTCTTTGTTTTTCCTGTGTCCCAAAAGAAAAGCACCCTAGTTTTGCAGATCAACTTCTTTACCTATTCATCCTCTGAGACACATAATGGCAATTCGATTAGTAGAAACCTGCCTAGATAGCAAAATGCATGCCCACTTTAATTTCTGTACAGCCAGCTAACATGGCATGCCTCAGGGAGAGCTCTAAGCTACACTTTACTTCAGATTCCCTTGTTAATTCAACAATTAATACTAATCTTTACATATTACAACTTATAAAAGACTATTTCTACCTTTTTTTTTTTCAGACAGGGTCTTGCTCTGTTGCCTAGGCTGGAGTGCAGTGGTGCAATCATAGCTCACCACTGCCTTAAAGTCCTGGGCTCAAGCAATCCTCCTGCCTCAGCCTCTTGAGTAATTAGGACTACAGGTATGCACCGCCATGTTGCCCAGTCTGGCCTTGAACTCCCGGGCTCAAGCCATATTCCTGCCTGGCTTCCTAAAGTGTTGGGATTACAGGTGTAAACCACCATGCTCAGGCTATTTCTAAGACTATTATGGCATAATAGGTACTCAATAAATATTTGTTGAAAGAATGAATGGATCAACTTATAGTCTTAGATGGAAAAGCCAAGAGATCAGATCTCTTTTCTGTAACCACAGCACTGGATTGGCAAATGATGCCTTCTGTTTGAAATTATGTAAAATTCTTCTTTCAGATATAAACTAAAATCAAAGACAACCTCTGAGTGCCATTCCATGAAGCAATCTGCTACTGTAATAAGCAGGTTGTGGCTTCCACCACCACTGCCACTGTCATCCTACATTTTTCTTTCTTTTTTTTTTTGAGACACAGTCTTGCTCTGTCACCCAGGATGAAGTGCAGTGGTGTGATTTTGGCCCACTGCAGCCTCTGCCTCTTGGGTTCAAGCAACTCTCCTGCCTTGGCTTCCTGAGTAGCTGGGACTATGCCACCAGGCCCATGCCACCACTCCTGGCTAATTCTTATATTTTTAGTAGACACGAGGTTTTACCATGTTGGCCAGGCTGGTCTCAAACTCCTGACCTCAAGTGATCTGCCCACCTCAGCCTCCCAAATGCTGGGATTATAGGCATGAGCCAATGAGCCTGGCCTTCCTCTTACATTTCTCTACTCTTCTTCTGTCTTTTTTTTTTTTTTAACCAATATCAGAACTGATCCAGAAATCTTCCAGTCCTTGGTGTGTGTGTGCATGCACACACACACACACACACACACGCGCGTATTTTCTTGATCTTAGTCCTAATGAATAACATGTGGAACATACAAGTAATTCCTTCCTATTCTATGAATAGCAATTCAAGGGATGGTTTCCAAAGAATTATTAAAACACACGCAAGAATTTACATTATACTCCAGTGGGTAGTAACAAATTGAAAACATTATCAATGCTTCATAATGTGGGCAAAACCCTGAGTATATAACAATCCTGGGCAGTGAAAAAGAAATATCCCAGATTCCACAATTTGAACTACTGACCCTTTTCTGTAGACGACCAACACTTTCCACCTTACTTAATTTACTAATTTATTATTTTCTTAAGCTAACTTCTGCATTCCTTTGGTATAAAATGCCAGCATACCTAGAAAATATTTTTGCATTTTACATGCTAATTAAAATACATCATCACATAGTTTGTGTCTTTAATAATAATATAGTACCCTATGATTAATATACCAGACTGATATAAATAGACATAAATACACACACATATATGTTTCATCTTGCTATAATCCATCTGAGGTTAACTGAGAAGATCCCCAGATAACAAACATATGTACAAGTCCCAGCCAAGGATCCATTCTAGGGAATGTTAAATAAACCAAATCCGGTTAAGCCGAAGAATTTAGATAGTCCCTTGGAGTTTTCTACTACTACATCAGGGGAAACTGAATGTAAATTTTCTATCTGGAATTTCAGGGGCAATTAAAACTCTTAATAATTCTTTTTCCCTTTGGCTGTACCTTTATTGGTTGGCAATTAATGACTTGGCTTTTGACCAACAGAGAAGAAAGAAATACTTTTTTTTTTTTTTTTTTTTCCAGAAAACTTGTGATGACAGATGTCATTTTCCAGCTTTCAGATGCCAATGGGAATTGAACCCAATAGTCATAAGCAATAAAGTTCTGTACAGAGAAAATCCCATTTAATGTAGGAGCATTTTCCATTAGGAAATTCCTTCTAATAAGAAGTAACTAGAAACTACTTATTGTTCTCTTTCCCAGGGACCAGTCCCATGACAGGCCCTCATTCCAGGCCCTACCACGGTGACATCTCTATTGTACCACCAACTACCCAAAGTGGTGACAGGAGCCTGAGCTGGGCCTGAGCCGCAGCAGTGACTCAGCATGCCCCAAATGTCTCCAGGTTTCCCAGGCCACCCCACAGTTGTATGGCAGCTCCAGTCAGTCTCCCGGGGAGGTCTGTCTGACCTCATTACCATGGAGCAAGACAGGATTTTGTAGAACATTCTTTTTCAGTCTCTTTAAAGAGCCCAAGCCAGGACACACAAAGACGAGAAGCTGGTTTCTAGGAAATTTAACCTCTCAAAATATGGGCATCATTGAATGTCCCTGATACAGCCATTCACCAGCTGCCACTGTATGACAGCAATATACACAAAAGATGAAAGACAATGTTGAATGACCAACGTCCGACTCAGGACTTATGATAAGATTATTAAAGTCACACATCAGCCTACCCGAAGCAAAAATTTTCTTCCCTGAAAGAGTTGGGAAGTGTCACTGTCCAGTGAGGCATTTATTTTTCAAACTAAATCCAGTTAAGAAGCTGGGCTGCTGGCCATAACTCCTACAGAAACTAACATATACTTCTGTGCCTGTGACAGCCCAGTCCAGTGATGAGTACACAGTTGTAATTGAATTGTATCTGATGTTGTTTGCACTAACACAGCACCGGGCTCCAGGACAAACCATGGCTCTGCAGAGTAGAGGTCTGGCCCACTCTCCCTGCACTCCCACTCCCCCGTGGCTTGGGTCTGCCCTCGTTGTCATGACCCGCCCAAGGTTTCATCAGCATCACTTCTGACTCATACTTTGTATTCAATAATAGCAAGATGCGAAGAGAGCTCTTCAGCAACGAGAGCCTGGAAGAGGGCCAGCATATTGGTACTAAAGCGGTGCTGGCCCCAACACAGCTCGCTGGGCCAGACGTGGATGGCAAATGGCTGACAGCCGGATAAACAAGCCGCTCCCTTTTTGGTGAGCTTAGAGGATGCAGGTGGATAGAATCAAGGCTTCAGGTATGCTTTTCAGAGGCTCTGCGGGGCTGTGGGAGGCTGTATAACAGCATTGGAGATGGTTGTGGTTCTCCCCCAGCAAAGGCACCAGCAGGGAAAAAGGCAGATTAGCAAACAGTGTGGGCGCACAGTGCAAGGCAGGGGAGAAGCTGTCAGGGTCATATCAACCTGCGAAAGGCAGCTGGTCAGGGACTCCTCGGTTCCCCATTGTCCTGCAGAGACATGGGGGGCAGTGTCCATGCCTCCCTCCCACACCACCCAAGCTGATCCACAGGAAATTCTGAGCCCTACTGGGCAAGTAGAGGGAACCAAATGTCTCCAGATGGAGAAGAGCGGAAGGTCTAACTAGCAGTCCCAGGGAAGAGCAACACAGACAAGAGGTGTAGAATTAGCCGGGCAGGGTGTGTGGGCGCCTCCCTGTGCTGGTGTGCCCAGGAGGAAGTCATTCGTGGAGCTTGGTACAGATTTTAAGGCAGTTTTGGTGTTTGAGGCTTTTTTAGCACACATAAGTCCAAGGTAGCATTAGAAAGAATGATAAACTTCACGTGACTTTTCAAAACAACCAAATGAGCCCAGCGTTGGCACAAAGCAGTCAGCCGAGATAAGCGGCCATTTCAGGAGCAAAGGCCCCTGTGCCAGGAAATAAGAACAAGCACGAGCGAGAAGCAGGGAAATGCAATCCCCAGACACAGCTCATGCTTTACGGCTGTGAGACAATGCTTCTTTTGCTCGGACCTCAGGCTCTGCAAAGTGCAGCACAGAGGAGGGTAAGTGCAGTGGCCCCTGGAGAAGGGTGGTCAGTAATAAAACTGCACCCCACTTTACTTGTCCCTTTGTGTTCCTCGGTCACTGCCAGGCCTGTCCAAATCCTGCAATACGTGGAAAGCCAGTGTGTTCAGATGGAATAGTAGGGGATGTGACCTAAAGGGATTACTAGTAAGATTTTCCAGAAAAAGAAAAATAGCTATGTTTTAAGCATAAGCGCCGGAGGAAGGGAGAAAGTTTCTTTGTTTCTAATTGGAAAGCTTTGCAAGCTATTGACCTATTGAGCAAAATCAGGACAATTGGGTACAATGTGGGGATTTCTGACACTTTCCTCGAAAGCCTATTACCCCAAATTGAGAGTCCCAGGATTGGCTGTTTTACAGAAGCTCTTAAGTACTGAGGTCTTGTATGAACTGGACCCATGTAAGATGGGGAGGGGTGGCCAGGCATGGTGGCTGATGCCTATAATCCTAGCACTTTGGCAGGCCAAGGCGGGTGGATCACCAGAGGTCAGGAGTTGAAGACCAGCCTGACCAGCATGGAGAAACCCTGTCTCTACTAAAAATACAAAATTAGCCAGGTGTGGTGGTGCATGCCTGTAATCCCAGCTACTCGGGAGGCTGAGGCAGGAGAATCACTTGAACCCAAAAGGCAGAGATTGTGGTGAGCCGAGACTGAACCATTGCACTCCAGCCTGGGCAACAAGAGCGAAACTTCGTCTCAAACAAAAGCAGAAACAAAACCCAAATAACTATTAAAAGATGGGGAGGAGTGACAAACATGTTGGCTCAACCTTAATTGCCGGATTATGATTCAAGGCCATTTGCTTAGAGATAGCGAGTCTTCAGAAAATCTTTGAGTAAAGGCAAATGAAAGGCTTGGGTCTAAAAACAGGCTTCCAAAAGTGGAAATAGGACACAGGAAGTGGAGAGTTGAAAACAAAACAAAACAGATGAGCTAGAATGAAAAGAGTAAGAGAGAAGTAGGAAGATGGGGAGAGACTCTAAGGAAAGCTGTGAAGGGAGAGGATTGTGGCCTCTTGGCTTGATTTTCAGTTAGTGCCTCGAACAATTTATTTAGCGTGAGGTGAGGCTCCTGCACATTCTGCCCTGTTCTCCCCAATTATGGGGGTGGGGAGGTAAGTGAACTACACCCAGACTTCTTGCAGCTGTCACCTTAATATCAGGTATTTGCGAGGTGGGGTGAGAGGTGGGAGGATTGCTAAGGGGCTGTGTAATTACTGGGAACTCCAGCCAGTGTAACATGGGCCTGTGTAGTTAGGTTTGACAGTATCGATTGTGCCAGACTCTGAACTAAGCACTGGGGATGCTGAGATCAAGAAGGCATGATTCCAGCCCTTAGGAGTGCACCACCAAAGGAGGAGACAGATGAGTAAACTAAACATTTTGATTCAGTATGTTTTGGGATACAGGTAGGAACCAGGGCTGCAGGGCCAGGGAAAGGGGGCACCTCCCCTAAGGTGAAGGTCCTGTCTTCAGTCCCACAGAACAGCTTACGAGACTCCTCCTCGGGTGCATCTTGTTCTGAGGGTGCGGCCCTCTCCAGCTGTCCCCTACATTGTCTCTATTTTCTTACTGGCTCCTTCTATTCTAGGTCTCTCCAGTCCCAAACACATCATTTCCAGCTCTGTTATGCCTTCAGGCTACTGGCTGAGCCTTTTTCTTTTACTGCCAAAGCACAGCATGCATTTTCCTACATTTCCTCCCTACCCTCTCATTTTTCACCCACCCCTTGATGTCAAGTTCCTCTCTATACCACCTTATCATAATCTCCCTGTTGCAGACGAACCACCAGTGATTTCCTCGTTACTAAATCCAGTGACCCTCACTGATGTTATTGTACATAGAGCTGAATGGCAACCACCAGGCTACAAGCTCAAACTCTCGCCTCTTTCAGCTTCCCAGGCCTCTCTGCCCTTGTTCTTCCTGCAATTCTCCTGTGCTTCCTTCCTTAGCACCAATTCCCTTCCCATCTCATAAGTGGGAGTGTTCCCCAGTAAACAGCCACAGGGAGCGCACCTGCATCCAGAGTTCCAGCTCTTCTCCATGCTGACGACACTCAACTTTATCTCTAGGTCTGATCCTTCACCTTATTTCTGGTTCAGAATTCCTAATTACATACTGGTCAGGTTCACATTCATGGTCATCTGTGTCCCTCAGGGTTCCGAGCACAGTGCATCGCATAGATATGGATATAATAATATTAGCTGAATGATGAGTGAATGAACAAACGAATAAAATATCCCAGTCTCCTGCAGAAAATCCCACCTTGTCACTTCTGCCTTTCTTTCCTGACCTTGGTTTCTGGCCGATTATCTTCCAAGAGACAGACAATTTATTGTTATCTTCCTAGAGGAGGCTCATCCCCAAAGCCTGGAAATAGGGCTTTGTATTATCCATCCAAAGATCGGTATTGTCGCCTTTCACCCCTCCATTCTCTTGGCAATGTCTCATTTTCTTTCTTGGTGAAATAGAACGAAAGTGATCGGCCCTTGTGGCAAGTCATATTATTCATGGTAACATCGTTTTTGTCTTGTAAGTGACTGACATCAGGACTGACCTATGAAGTGATTTATACCCCACTTTCGACATGCCCTTTCCCATGATCTTTAACCCCAAAGCAACAGTAACAACTATACTAACAGCACTTGTGATATGCCAGGCACTGTGCTGCACCAGGTGCTTTACATCTATTCTTTTTCCGAATCTTTACAAAAACCTTATAAGGCAGAAACCATTTCCAGAGAAGGAAACAGAGGCTTAGGGAAGTTGGCGTATCTGGCTCAAAGTAAGTGGTAGAGCCAGGGTTCAGGGAGACACGAGAACATCCCCCTCTTAATCCTTCACCACGCAGCCTCTCATGTCTATTGGATTCAGTTACAGGGGGTGGCTTGAGTTGGTTCACGTCTACAAATAATTGAATTTTTGTTACATGCTGAGCTTTGTGGGATACAAAGGTTTAAAAAGATCAAGTCCATGATCTCAAGGAGCTTCCAGTCTAGAGGAAGAGCACCAAGATGAGACTGCCGCTTGTGAAGTGAAATGAGACTTTTGGATGAAAGGGTTACATTTGCACAAAGCATGCACAGTTCAGTATTACATGTCCCTGCCCTTGAAGAAGATCCCAGCTGCTAGAGTTTTGACTATGCAGTGTTTCAGATTTAGTTTCCCCTCCTCTTTGATCAGGCTCCTCTGTCTTTCTAAAGCTCATACTATACATATAATTTCCATTCAAATTCAAAATCTTTCCAATTATTGTAGTGAATGCAATGTTATTCAAGGATTTTTTTTTTCCTGAAAGAGCACCTATCTGACATGCATTTTTAATTTTATGTGCAATATGCAAATGTCATCACTGTAGTTGTTAACCGCAGTGCAGGATTGCAATTAACTATGGAGCTGTGCATTTTAGTTATATGCTAATGCTAATGAGATTTTCATAAAGCAAGTCCAATTACCAGCCCTATTTTTTAACTGCAGAAGCTAGTGCAAAGCAAAGGTGTTGACTTTCTTTAGAATAAATTACCCTTTGTCCTTGGCTCCTTCATCATATTCAATCATCCTAAAAAGTAACTCCTGCTACTTTGAATATTGTATCCTGCCTTCCTCTCCAGTACAATATTAATGGAGACTGTGGGCAAGATTGTTTAGAAACCAATTTACACTGCACAGGCAGTGGGAAAACTTCCTCCAAATGTAAACTGCTCCAACAGAGGAGCAGAGCTTTGAATACTCAAAGTAAACAGGACCTGGAGGAGACTGAAGACCCAGACAGTAAGTTAGCAAAAATAAATCACAAGAGAGCATGTATGTGGTGTAAACTTGCACTGAGGAAACACAAGCAGTGAATGGGTATTTAAACCCAGATTTATGATCAGCTGTGTCACTGGTGGTAGATAAGCACCGTAGAGGGCTATTCATTCATTCACTCATTTAAGAAACAGTTATGGGGGCTTCTGTGTTCCAGACACTAAATTAGACACTGAAGGTTCAAGTATGAATAATATAGGGGAGGAGAGACAGACTTTCATATTTTATTTCTGTACTAATGGATTCTTTTACAAAAAGAAAGTGTTTGTTAATTACTTGGGCAGTGAAAGAATGAATAAGGACAATGCCTGCCTTCAGTGAGCTTATGGTCAAGTAAAAGTATACAAATGTGTAAATTAATTTTAAAAGGATACAAACGTGAAACAAAGCATGACACATGAGGTATTT